TTTGTATTTGAAAGATAATGGAAAAGTTAACGGAGACACTTCCATTCGAAATTAACATTCAAAGGAGTTTCTCGACATTCTCTATGTCGATTGGTAAGATCTGACATAGGCTTTGATGGTGGTTTCGCGAAAACGGGAAAAAATTCGGGTGTTCTGTGGCTTTTGACTGGCACAGCTCGGTGAACAATGCTCGTTCTCGTGCGGAAAGAGCCGCAGAAAGACTCCGGCCAGAGGCATCAAGTCTCTGTGAATCTCCCTCTTTGAGAACGCGCCAACGATACGTCTTCCTTGTGCATGTCGTACCTCTTCCCTTTATCAAACGATCCTGAATCGTCGCCGGTGGCTTATTATTCGCGGTAATTGCGTTTCAGCGTCGGGGTTCACTCTTGTTGGATCTTCTTTGAAATCGTCACACGTCAAATCATCGTATAAGAGAATCTTCGAGGCGTTGAAAATTACTCCTCCACTTTTTCACTTGTTTATTCCCATCAAACATGAAGGATACGAGGTTTCTTTTGTAATTTTTTTGAAACAGAAAGCTGTATAATATTCATGAATCCACTAAGAATGAATTAGCAGGAGTTCCGTTCTCATCCTGGCGGTAATACAACGAAATTGACTTCACAAAACGCGCGTATTCGCGCTACGAATACATTGTGCAGTAATGACCGGCTGCATTGCCAGGGGGAAAATTAATTGCGCCCTTGATTATATAGGGAAGGATGCAATAACTATAAAACCATTAGAGCAAGAGCGATTACTCGCTCTCTACTGTTTACGTGGCCTTAAAAAAGAAGGACGCCGTAAAAGGGGTCGTAAAGATAAGAGATTTCCACGACAGGTGAAAATTCACAATTTGATTCAATAACCCTGACTCTGATGCTTCTGACAGGGGATTGAAAGTCTTCAGCCTCGAATGGTACGAATCGAGAGGCGCAACTTTGTTGTTTCGATCTTATTCACCCTTTCGCCGAATCCTTCGACAAGCCCATAGCAATCGCGTCGATTTTTCCACGCTTCCAGTGACACTCCACAGGGTAAATACGAACAAACGGCGAATCATTAAATTCGTCGAACAGGAAACACGATCGCACGGACTACTCGCCTTTCAGAGAGGCGTTCGAGCGTCAATTTCATTCCGTACCCCAGGTGATTCTTTTCTTTCCCCCTTTTCTTCGGTGACGACAGGGCGCGGGGAAGTGCTCGTACAATGGGAAAACGGATCGATGGAGAAATTAACAGACGGTCTCCTTTAATACGAGACCCTCGTCTCCGTTTCACCCTGCGCCTCTTGCTCGCGAATCTCTCACAGTTTACCACGACTCGCGAAGCTACGTACATCGTCGCCGTGATTTCTTTCTCTTTTTCTCTGTATCTTACAGCTCGTTCCTTGTCTTCCGTTTTTCCTCTTTTATTCGTTCCTGTTTCTCTCCTTACTCTTTTCCATTGCTCTCTCTCTCCTTACTCTTTTCCATTGCTCTCTCTCTCCTTACTCTTTTCCATTGTCTCTCTCTCTCCTTACTTTTCACATTCTCTCTCTCCCTCTTCACTCTCTTTCTCTCCCTCTCCCTCACTCTATCCGTTTTTCTCTTTCTTTCTCTTTCTCTTCCAATTTCTCTCTCTTGCTCTCTCATTTCCGTTTCATAAGACAATTCAATCTGTGCAATGTTCTGTGTTACTTATCCCGTCTCTCATTCGACAGAATCGACCGGTTGTTCTCGTATCGGTGAAATACGCGAACGCTCGATGGAGCATCGCTCACACGTTGATGCGTCTCCATGGCCGATTTAGCGCGAAATTTTTAATCGCCCGACTCGACTACTTTCTGTCGAGGATTTACGGATCGATATGAAACGGATCGCAGGAGCAAAAAGATGAAAGAGGGACAGGTGGCCGGCCGCGAATTAACGCGCGATATAATTTGCAACTGCATATCACTGTGTTAAATTTAACATTTCCGAGAATGAATTTGTTGCCGCATGCCCCCTCACAGAGAGACATAAATTATCACGAATTTGTGTGAGTTAAGCTACAAGCTGTTGCACAATTGTGAAATTAGTGAAGATAAAAGATAAAGTTCGTTAGTGAATAATTCATGTCGATAAAGTTTAGTCAGAGGTTGACACGTTGACTGTTCGGTTGAATTATTGAAATCCAGATTCCGTTTGCACCTAGTTGTATGTACAAAGTAAAAAGACTTAATACTGCGAGAAACGTTGCACATTAAATTAAAAGCTCGAAGGCTCAGGAGAGAAAAAAAAAGAAATTAAGATCAAGTTACATTATTAAGGGCAAGAAAAATTGACCCAATTTTAAGGTTAGTTCTGCCACTCCATTACAACCGCCCTGTATCTACAATTAAAAGGATAGAAAAAAAGAGAAGATAGGAACGTTTGCAAGTCGTCCCGTTATAACTTTTAATGAATAGTTAATTTGCCTCCTTCTGTGATTTTTCTAAGCCGCTCAAGTTTTTAATTAAAGAAAACTCACCTTCTGCCGAAACCGATGATCGAACCGGTCGAACTAAAACGAAGTTAGATCCTTGTATCTTGATGAAATAAGTTTTCAACGCGAATGGTATCCGCACAAACAGCGTTGAAAATAAAATAAAGAAAAAAGAAGCACATACAGAGAGAGGAAAGATATTCGCGGTTTAAACGGACGACTATTCCTTCTCCAATCGACGTTCTCCACATGGATCGTTCACAACAATATCCCGATAGGCATATATAGCGATATTTCAAATAAAACAGTCGAGTGGGATCACCATAGATCGATATTCCGTGCACGAGGCCATCGTTACGATTTTCCACGAGTAATCCACCGAGCAAGTTCGATTGCAGTATCTCTAACTTGCGATCGATGTATTATATACAGGGTGTTTTCCTTAACTCGCCATTTTAGAATATCTCATGGGGAATTGAATCTATAAAAAAAATGTTTTTACAACAGTTGTTTGGTATTGAATTCAACGACCCGCCATATGAGGTCATTTATTGTTGTAAAATGTTATAAATTGTGTTATAAATTCATAAGTTCCTAGGAATCAAGTGAGCCTGTATCGCTGGTTGACGGCTATCGAGCTACACACTGTAAATAAAGATCGTACTTTTCATCTCCTCTTATGCTTCTCAAGTTACCAAATATTACAAATATCAATATGAATGGAGAAAACTTTTTTTTAATTGCATATCGGTAAGTAGAACTTCGTTTATTTGTCTCACTGACTTGAGAAGCATAAGGTGAGATAAGAAGTTCCATCTTGTTGCAATGGATTAAAGTAATCGCGGAAAATTTAGGACGATATTTAATGAAGGTTTTCAGAGACACATTTTCGTAAGCAATACTTTATTCTGATACACATATGTATATGATGACAAAAGACGAATACGCTCCGCATGTAAAACAACAGACGTTCGCCAGTCCACCAACTAAGGCGGGAGACTTAAAAACCAACAGATCTTTGTTTACAGCGTGTAGCCTAATAGCTGTCAAGCAGCGATTCAGGCTTACTTGATTCCTAGGAACTCGCGAATTTATAACATAATTTATAACTTTTTACAACGATAAATGACCTCGTGTGGCAGGTCGTTGAATTCGTCTCAACAAGTGCCATCGTACTTTGAGAAAGAAAATATATAGTTCCGTTTAGAAAAGTGAATTTGACTGAAATTCTGCCCGTCACCACTCGACCTGCAAAAAATAATTCGCATCATACAATGATCTTCTTCATACCAAACAACTGATATAAAAACATTTTTTTGGATAGGTTCAGCCTCTTACAGGATATTTCAACATTGCGAGTTAAAGGAAACACCCTGTATATACAAGCAGAGTACTTTTCCCCCGTGTTTCATCAAACTTACCGCTGCACGCGCCTGGATATCGACCCACTCTGCTTGGAAAAACACTGCAAATAATAAAAAGGTGGTATTACCTTTTTCGGTTGTTTGGGCAAACATCAAAAGAGTGGATAAAATACCGCTTTAACAGATTGTTTGTCGGGGAAATTTTTTTCACGTTATTCTTGCACCATTTGTTTTTCCTTTACTTCCTTTTTCCTCTTTTTCTTCTTTTTCCAGAGCTGGGTTGAATATTCATAGAGACAGTTACGAGTACGATTAAACGAAATTTGATGATTACACGAAACCGACCCAATTGTGCTACGAAATAACAATATGTTTCCCGTAATATTCTTCGGCATGAGCTATAGCATTATGCGGATCGTAATAACGGGATGTAGAGTTTCAGTCTAATCCCGTGCATAGAATGGCACATTTTAATCTATGCGTATGGATCGCGTGGCGGAAAGAATAAAGAAGAACGAATGCGCTAATCGCGCTTCTGAATAGCGCATCGGGTAATATTTAAATGTTCGAATTTTTCAACTGTCGACATGACAACCGGGCAAACTTTCGAGTGACCATTTTTCCCCAAATGACCTTGGCGTGTCCTTGCCTCCCCCGCGCTATCGATTTTCCCGCGCGAATTTCTGGTGACCTCCTACAGCCCGTCTATTCCAAATTTTTTTCTCCACATATCGCGGAAAACAGTCACTTCTTGTTGAAAAAAAAAACAAAAAAAA